ATATTTTGGCGACTAAAATTTTTCACTGGTGACCAAACCTGAACAGTCAGTGGCCAAATGGCCACTAAGAAAAAAAGTTAACTTGGAGGGTTGCAAAGGATGATAGAATTAATTGCCACTGTCTGCATTCACCGTCATTGCTGATACACTGGATTTATCTCCAGCCAAAAGGAGGCTAGAAAAAGAAATAATATAATTTTTGTTGTCTCGTTAATAAATCAGTGTATGTGACGGGCCTAACCGACTTGAACAGTGCGCAAAATTTTTTATCTCTGAGAGACTCTTGACCTTTCTATGCTTCACGCGTTTTTCTGAGGGGCACTTTATGCTGTGTTATTAGGAGAAATGGAAATGAAGAGGTAGAGTGGAGTTGTTTGACTGTGTTACAGCATATTTTTAGCATCATAGGTCTGTATGTTTTCCATTGTTAACTACATGTCGCTTTGCAGAGTTCAACACCTCTGTAATAAGCCTTCTTCTTACAGCCCTTAATGACAGCCCTGATGTAAACAATCTGTTCCCAGATTTCCGCTTTATATGCTGTGGGATTTGATTTTGACTTCATACACTATAAACAGTCTGCCTGTTTGCTGTTCAACACTGGTATTTTCATCAAAAGTGAACTTTGTCGGAAATGCTCCAAATTTCGCATGCAGTTTTGTTTATGTATGTTAAGCAATGTCCCATAATTTTTCCGGTTAGGTTTGCTTTGTTTGCGAGATATTGCGTATGCAGAAAAACACTCAGTTTTCCTAGCGGCATGTTTCATGAAGGCTTTCATGCAAAAAGGCGTATATAGCATTTTGGGCCGATTTTTATTTTTTGCAGGATCAAGCTAATTTTTGGCAGACTGACTTGTTTTGACATGAAAAGCATCGTTACGTAATTGTTTTTGTTGATTTGCGCTTCGTTTTCAAGAAATAATGTATGCAAAAAAACTCAGTTTTCCAAGGGTATCTTTTGGAGATCTTTTGTTAAGTGAAAAACAAAACAAACCTTTGTTTTGCTAAACAATGAAGTCACCGAAGAGTGGTATTTGCCGCTAGTTTTATTGTTCATATAATTACGCAATTCTCTTACTGCTGCTTTGTTAGCGAAAGCGAATAAGGCGCTGAACTGGCCGGATGCGAGTTTGTTTTGTCGTGACACTGGTTCAATATGAGGTCAGTCAATTTTTTTTTCCGGTCTATTTCTCTACCTCTTTCAAAAATCAAAACATCCATTTAAATAAAACCATGCTGTCGAAGCTGGTAAAAGTAACCGTTTAAGTTTGCACCACATCAAAATCCACCTTGGAAGGATTCACTCCAAAAGATGCCGCTCAGAAAACTGAGTTTTTTTGCATACGTTATTTCTTGAAAACGAAGCGCAAATCAACAAAAACAATTATGCAATGATGCTTTTCATGTCAAAACAAGTCAGTCTGCCAAAAATTAAATCGATCCTGCAAAAAATTAAAATCGGCCCAAAATGCTATATACGCCCTTTTTGCACGAAAGCCTTCAATTATTGTGGGATTAATGCTGAAACCCTTGTTTGAATTGTTTAGACTGAGGATAAGAAGACAATTTTAGGGTCAAAGAAAGAGTGAGCTCCTGAGACCCATGATTTTCTTTTCATACATTTGTTACCTCTAGCCTGTTTTGATCCTTGTTTTCAGCCATATTATTTCAAGAAAAATACTTGCTTCCTGATGAAAAAGCAGTAGGCCATTTCCAAGTTGCCTTTTGCCTCTGTGTCAAAATGAGTCTTCTTACCAAACCATTCATATAGAAATAAGATCTGCCTAAAGATTCATTTTCATGTAAATCAAACTTCTTTTCAGAAGTAAGATTTTGCACGAACGCTCACTTTGGAACAGGGGCACAAGGTACCGGTAACTCGGAAGTGGCGTATCCTGCCCACTAATGTTCTGTAAGAGGTCAAACTTGTGAGGTGCTTTCCATTATGCCAGACCCAACAGTCAGAGACCAGGGGACTAAATTATCTTTGTTGTTGCTACCTGGTGATATTCACCTGAAAACCCAACAAATATTTCTTTGGGAAGAGTATGTTGAGACTCAATCACAGAAATCTTACTTAAACCTCTCTGAAACTCCACTATTAATAACAATTTCAACTTAAAGGACTCTGCTACGCTCTGTACAATCAAAGCATCACTCTATGTACCTTGTTCTTCCACTGCATTCAAATGAGCAGTCCAAAATATTATGCATTGGTTTCTATAACCTTCTTAGGGTTATGTCTTATTTATTCAATTCCTGATTGTCTTACAAACAAAATAAATGATATCTGGAGTCACTATAAAATTTGATGTGCCACAGCTTGTAAAAACAATCACCATTTCCATCAATGTCTAAAGGAATAAGTCCCAATTGCTGTAATCAAGCCTTCAATGCCACTGCACAGTTTGTCTCATGCACGCTATTTTCCCTAAGTAAAATTGGGGACATTTCTCACCCGCAATACAAACAGAACCAGAACTTTAAGTCTGGTATATTGACCAGCGAATACCAGTATATTGCTTAATTCAAAATTTCAGCTACTTCAGAGTCCATTGAGTTATGCTGAGTGCTCAAAGGTGGCCCTTTTGCTATACATCTGTTTAAAGCTTCCACTCTCCTTTACCCAATTTTGCCTTAGTGCACGCGTGCATAGCCAAACAAGAAGCCTAAAGACTTTCATGTGGGATGCTTTTGTTGATTTACTATACCATCAACTTTGAATAGCTATCCGCATAGAAATCAATCCAAATGTTCAGTTTTGCAGTTTTATTTTCTTCAACAAAAAGGTAACAGAATGCGGTTTGTGTTAAAATTTGTATATATTTGATAGTGGGAGTCTAAACATTGTTACTGTTGTGTCAAAATGACACAAAAATGTCTCACTCGGTTCGAATTTCAAATTGTCATGCAGCTTCAAATTTTTGACTGTGGAAAAGAAATACACTAAAAATGCCTTCCCTGTCTTTGTTTGTTGTACCTTTTTTCTATGTTACTGTAGAGGTTTGGGTCGTGTTACTAGTAAAGTCAAAGTAAAGTGATTTCAGGGAGTTTTGGCTTCATTGTTTTCCAGTGTTTTTGACAGGCCACAATGAGAAATGTTCATTTGCTGGCTATCAAACATGCAAGTAGTTATGGGTGAAACCTTACTCACTGAGGCAATAGGATCTTTTCAAACAAGTTTATGACTATTTTCCTTCTGCGGGAAATTCGCTGGGCTCCGTGATGGACTGCGATGAAAATATCTGTGAGATTTGCAATCTAAATTACCACTCAGCAGACATTTGCTGGGGATGAAAGAAAAAAAATTTATGGCTGCTCTCCTTCGGTAAATTTGTTGGGTTTCACGATGGGTTGCAATGAAAACTATGTTGCAGGCTGCAATGAAAATTTCTGTTGCAGGCCACAATGAGAAATTTCTGTGAGATTTGTGAGTTTAAATTCCCACTTGGTGGACATTTACTGGAGATTGAGGAAAGCAGTGCTGGGCTTCGTATTCACAGTGGATCTCGCTATGAAAAATATCTGCAAGATTTGTGGGCTTAAATTCCCAATCAACAGACATTTGCCAGAAATATAGCCATGAGCCTAAATTCCCACTTGGTCGGCGATGTAAGAAAAGCGATTGTTAAGGCAACTATCAAGAATGCTCTTAGTGAGCATTTATGGCTAAAATAATATGTTCCTTCTGCCCGATGAGATTCAACTTCACATACTTCCGTGCGAAACAAAAACGAAGTCAATGTGTTCCCACGGGATACAGGTCAATCTGAATAATGTGACTACAAAGAAAAAAAAGAAAGAGAAACTTGACTGAAACTTTGACACGGTCTGCCTCAGGCATCCTGCACAAGAAAGGAATGGCTCTATAAAAAAATTACCAAAACTGGAATGGCAAATTCTGAACCAATCAAAGTGGACCACCTCAAGAGGTGTTCCTGAATATTCCTGGTCAGACTGAACCAAAATGGACTTTTCCACTTGATTTCTGACCGAAATTTCTGAAATTGTTACAATGTAGTATAATGGACAGCACCCAAATATATACTGGCTGATAAGTGAGACTCAGTGAGCCAATGGACCAATTTCAGTATATTAAAATTCTAACTTAGCTCCAAGGCTTAGGGAAATAAAACAAAAGAAGTTGATCATCCATTCCTCAATCTTAATGCGATTTCTTTTGTTTTATTCCCCTCAGCGTCGGATCCAAGTTAAAATTTTGGCCTATTAGAAGGTTAGAAATGCATAAACCGCGGTTGTTACATGTCAAACTTACATGACAAATTCGTTGTTAGACACAACACTAGAAGCCACTCCACCAACAATAAACCATGGATTAAGCACTGTCTGTCCTCCGTTAACTGTGGTGCCTGCTTCTAAAGCCAAATCGTTGAATCCTTTTATTACCATGGGCGTCACGATTTCCCTTTCCTTCAAAGTCATCTGATTGCTCACCCCAAGAAGCATCAACATGTTATCGCATTCTGTGACTCCCATAGCGTATAAATCACTCAAAACATTAGCACAAGCAATCTTGCCTTGCATGTAGGGATCGTCGACGAGAGGATAGAAGAAGTCGGTAGTCTGGACAATATTTATTCCCTTATGTCTCGTTGGAAGAACACAACTATCCATTCCAACACCAATTTGTCCCTCGCCTTTCTTCTCCCCAAGTCCCTCTAGGAGTTTGAGCAGTTCCTCCTGAGGGACTTTGCATCCTCATCCTTTAAGTTTAGTGAAGTTTATAAGACGAAATGTTTCTGATAAGCCGTGATCTCTAGGGTTAAATGGAGAACGGGTTAAACTTTCCATCAACGCCATCTTTGTCTGACACAAGAAATCTCGTATTCTCAACCTCGTCCCCAGGGTCTTCTCCTCGACGATTTTCAACATAGGCACGCAAGGCGTGCAAGAGTTATTATTTTGTGAACTATAAGTCTCCGAGATAGGAGCATTCATGGAACTGTTTACAGTAATGATTTGGTTGATTTGAGAAGCTTTTTTGGTTGGGATGTACAATGTACAGCAAGAAAGAAACTGGGAGTTTATGATGTACATAAGATGTTACATCGGTAATGGCGAGATAACTAAATAGTAAGCCATAAAATGTTTGACTGAACAAACTACAGTAATCTGACACGTCTCCAGATTAATGTAGGTACCATCTTATTTTTTAACAGGCAATTTTATTCGTTCTTTGATGCAACCCACACTGTGATTGGTCTGACACGCGCACATGCATAACTCCCTCACTCACCGATCACGTAGCCCTTCCCCCC